ACAGTGCTGTGGCATCACAGCTCACAGCAACCTCCAACTCCTGGGCTCAAGCAAGTCTCCTGCCTCCGCCTCCCAAGTAGCTGGGACCACAGGCGCCTTAGCCGGTTGAGCTATAGGCACCGAGCCTCCAAATATTTTTTTTAAGTAATCTTCCAAAGTTATCACCTTAGATTTGCTGTTTCACTGACATTTTAATATTATTAACTGCAAATAACATGAGGAAATATGTACATAAAAGGAAAGACAAGATACTGTATAAAAATGAAGACAGGCACCAATCTCAGTGGAGTCAATTTAACTTCCAACACCTCCTTCCTCGCTTCCTTAACGTAGGCCTGATGGGAAGCAGAAGCAGACCGGCGGGAGCCTTTTGGTGGCCGACCGGGGGAACGGGAACGGGATCTTGACCGACTCCCTCGGCGTCTGGAAGGAGAACTGGAAGTTGAGCCACCTTTCCTTTGCTTAAAGGAAGTTAAAGGCTAGAAGAAAGGAAGAAGGCAAAGAGCTTTACTAAAATCATAATACGCATGGACCCAAACTAGAAGAGGGTAACAAAGCTGGTACCTGCTACTGCTAACTCTAAAATCATCGTGAAAAATCACAGGATCCGAGAACCTATCAGTTGAAGCCAATGAAAAATGCTGCAATCATGATCCATCTCTCACACGACAAAGACAAACGCAGCCTTTCCCTTCCTCACTGCCCTTGGAAAACATTTCCAAGAAACGAAATGTGTGTAAACAAATAGATGTATACATTCCCAGGAACATATGAAGGAAGGGTTACAATTAACATTGATTAAAACTGAGATGAGAGGCCAACAGAATCAGCACACAAACAGCAAAAAAAAAAATAGTTCGAGATTCACTCTGAACAAAACATACAAGGAGGCTGGTGCCTGTGGCTGAAAGGAGTAGGGCGCGGACCTAGGGTGGTGGGTTCAGGCCCAGCCCCAGCCAAAAACTGCAAAAAAAACATACAAGCAGATCTTGAAAACAAAGTATAAGTCTGGATTCCTGGAAATTGTTTTACCATGTCCTCACTCACTCCAAATCACTCCTTCCATTGCTTCTAGGGATCTAGACCTAGAAAAAGTAAACTATACTCCGAGCCAAATCCTCCCTACCCCAATTTTTGTTTGGGTCTTGAGCTAAGAATGACTTTTACATTTTTTAAATGACTGTAAAGAAAACAAAAGAGCAATATTTCCTGACACATCAAAATTATATGAAATTCAAATTTCAGTGCCCATAAATAAGGTTTTATTGGAACACTGCCAAATCTAATCCCTTCCATATTGCCTGGAGTGCTCTGGAGCCACAGAAGCCATATGCCCATATATCCTAAGACATTTACTATCCATCAAATGGATCTGATCAAATGATTTGCTGGCTCCTGTTCTAGAATACTCAAAATGTGGTCCATATGCCAGGAACTGTTTGTTACTGATCTTCAAGGAAGAACCAAAATCGAAAAAAGGTATGTGGAAATTTTTATAGCATGTTGATGAAGTAACTTTATGTCTATTGAATCTGATGATAAAAATGCGAGGCTTTTATTTTGTAAGTTTTTTTTTTATTTTTTGAGTAACATATTTTTATGGCACTTTACATAAGTATTTATATACGAAGGATCAGACAGTTTAAAACTCAGTCCTAACTAGATGATTAAGCAGCCCTGGCCTAGACTCAAATCTAATTAATGTCACTCTCTTGATTAAAACCTCAGGGTTCAGGATGAAGCCCAAATCCCTGGACTTGACAAATAAAACCCTGCAGTCTGGCTCTGCTTACCCTCCACTGGCTCTTGCCCACCACCCTTCCAGCACCCGGCTGACTGTGCCACCTAACCCCTAAGCCTTTGACATGCTGCCCTCTCTGCAGAAGCAGCCCCAATGTCAACCAACTTTTTCCTATTTGTTCTCAGCACTTGGTTCAGATGTCATTACCTCTAAAGAGTTTCAGGAGATACTCAACACCATCCACGACAAACTCCAGTATGAAGCCCAGGGAAACAGCAAGTATAAATGTCTGTCTTTCCCTTAACTGCAAGCTTACTGGGAACAAAGCATTGTGGTTCAATCATGCAATTCCCAAAGCCAAAAACAGTATCTCACCCAAAGCAGGAACTCAGCCCTGTGCCTCCAGAGCCAGCACTAACAACGCTGAGCTTCGAAATCATACTTATAGTTATTTCCCACTTACTATAAACATATTCTGATCAAACAAAGGAGCTCTTACCTTGATATCACTCTCTTTCAATTCAAGTTCGGTTCCATCTTTGTATTTTACAGTGTAAAGCTGAGAACTGCTGTCATGGCTCAGAATTTCTACTTCATAATAAAGTGAACTCCCAGGCCATCGACCTCTTACCACTTCACCATCAGCAAACCTCCTACTCGGCATTTTCTAAAATTAGTCTGAACGGTTTTAAAGAAAAAAATTGAGTCAATACATAGATATGCAATTATATGGTTGTCTTTTATCATAGGTTGATCACTAAAATACCATTCTGCCAAAAAAAAATTTTTTTTTTAAATAAAAAATTTAGGGCCAGAAAGGCCTCTGGAGAAGAAAGTATGTAACTCCTTATTTGAAAGATGAGAAAACTGAAAGCTAAAGTTAACTATCTTGTTCAAGGTCAGAAAAACAAATGGTACAAAAGGGCAGAGCTAGGACAATACTGAAGCTGCTCTTTTTGCTACATTATACCTCATTTTGAATCACTTTACAGAGGACGATTTATCCACTTTACATACTTATGTGTGTGGTACATACATGACGCTAAAGATTAATTATGACAACATCTATAGCCACCACATCATCACTCATCTACAGAATGTTACTCAACTACAGTGGCCTTATTTCTCGCTAATCAAAAAAGCAGGCATAATCTTACAAAGGAGACGTTTTCTAATGTGTCAATTTGCATATCATCTTATAAAGTCTTTAAAAATGCATTTTATTATATTTTTAACTAATAGCCTTTATTAAAAACAAACTATGAAACAGGTGGAAAATTAAGGACTATCACCCATCAACAGAAAGAAAAATAATTCCAAATCTAAATTGAACAGCAAATTTGGGGGTTATTTCTCATAGCTGAAGAGCCCAAATGCACACCAAGTAACTCTGCCGACCACCTACCTAGGCTAGCTCAGAGCCTCTCTCTCAAGCCTACAACAATTACCCCCAACTACAACCTTCTTTTCCACTGATTCAAAACATGGTCCATGAATATGGACCTTGTATATACAACACTCCAAGAAGCCACAATCAATCTGCAAAAACACCACTTACGTGAGGTCTGCCTGCCAACCTTTTTGAAATATCAATCATTTGCTGGGTCCTTCCAGCTGCAAGGTAGTAATGTTTCTCCCTGTACTGGCCAGCAGATTCCCATTTCCACACTAGAAAACTGGTGCCATCAACGTTCCGCGACACTACGTGAACTAGTTAGCTGGGGCCTAGTTCAAGAAGTAGACACTGTACTATAGGGTTTTCTCTCCCTAAATTACCTTCATCTCACCATGTAAGCAATTCCCAATATATTATCCAAGCATATAAATGTATATTCCTCACCAGCTCTTGTCAAGAGCTAAGAACACAAGAGCAACATTTAAATACTTCTAAAGACTCTATGGAATTAAGGAGGTTATATTACCTATTCCTCCCGTAAGAAAGTCTGCTAAGCAGCACATTTCTTCACTGTTAATCACCTGAGAAAAAACTATTAAGTTTCACTTATTTAAATAGATAATGCCTTTTTCAAAAAGAAAATAGTACTCATCAGGTGATTAGAGGATGGCAGTCAATTAACATGGTAGGCAAAAGAGCCTGCTTTCTTCTAAGAGATAGCATCACTGCGGTAGGGAAGGAAGGCGCCCACGTGCTTTAAGGATCATGTCAGGGCTAGCTGAGGAGCACCTCAGGGGGCACTTAGGAAGGGGGAGGCAAAGGACACCCTCAGACAAGGAGGCGGGATGCAAAAAGGGAAAGTAACAACAGCTGTGCCTATTTCAACACTTAGCTTCTCTCTTCTCTAGTGTCTCCTCCTTCCCCAGGGCACCCCTCCCAAATCAAACCAGTTACTAGTACTAGCTCTCCTACATTGCTCAACCAGGATTCAAAGAAGGCCAACTGTCTTTCTACATGAAGACACTCAACTTTCAAACAACTCTTTACAAACGTTGTTTGGGAAGGTTCTTTGGGGGAGGGGGGGTTGAGGCAGAGTCTCAGTATGTCACCCTCAGTACAGTGCTGTGGCTTTCAGCTCACAGCAACCTCAAAGTCCTAGGCCTATTCTCTTGCCTCAGCCTCCCAAGTAGCTGGGACTACAGGCGCCCACCACAATGCCCAGCTATTTTTGTTGTTGTAGCTGTCATTGTTGCTTTAGCTGGCCACAGGCCAGGTTCGAACTGCCAGCCTCCATGTATGTGGCTGGCACCCTACCCACTGAGCTACAGGCTGCCGAACCTTTACAAACTTTACAAGCTCTTCAGGACTTAGTGACCACATGCAGACTTGAAAGGCGCTGAACAACAGATCCTGTATGTTCTTAAAAATTTACTTACTGGTACCTTTCCATTATACTATTACACATCACACACACAGTATCTGTGCAATCCTGAACATAGGACAGTGCCAAAAGATATTTCTGTTACCAATTAAGTAAAATGTTCATGTTAAATTATCTGGTCAATTTCTTAGGTCTCTAAGTTTAATTTTTTTTAAAAAAAGAATTGAGTTGGTTGTAAAACAAAATAAACCAGCACTCTCCTAAGGAGACCACTATTTTATACACAAATGTTCCAAAGGATGAGATCAACATGATGCACACCCCACTTTACACAAGATCCACACACAATTGTCAAACATGAGGATATGGTGCAATCACATCCTCATACTTGTATAATCTCCCACAAGAGTGAATGAGCCAGTAGCTGGGCATAGTGGTGGGCACCTGTAGTCCCAGCCACCTGGGAAGCTGAGGCAAGAGAATCGCTTAAGCCCAAGAGTTTGAGGTTGCTGTGAGCTGTGAGCACTCTACTGAAGGTGACATGAGACTCTGTCTCAAAAAAAAAAAAAAAAAAAAACACTGAATGGGCCAGGATAGGACACAAAAGCTCCACAACATTTGAGCATGTCTTTACGCACTCACCTACGGGAGCCAAGATACACATCCATAGGCTTTCCTTAGAAGGGATGTTTTAATCAAGTGTGTTCATAAAAAAAATTTTTTTTTGTTTACTGAACACAATGTTCTCACTCCCCAAAAAGAGAAAATCACAGGGACCCTCAGGCTTTTCTCTATTAAGCCATATCTTGCTAACTTTAGTGTTAACTAGCCCTGGAACCCTCACACATTTCAGCTCCAGTACATGACAATTCTCTGCTGCTATTCTGTGCTGACCAGTGTCACTAGAGTTTTTGGTCATCTTTCTCTTCTTCAAATTAATTAAATGTGGGAGAAAACAAGAAGCTCATATGAAGTTGGCAGTTTCCCTTCAACACCTGAGCCACGGGTAGGACTACTTGGCAAAAAGGGAACAGAAACCCCGGGTGCCCTGGCTGCACCAAGCAACAGACACTCCACAGAGGCCTTTTTCCCTAATACAAACTGAAGGCAACTCATTATTCCCCTCCTACTCGCGCTTTTCCCGCTTCCCCAGGCAGCTCTCGGAAAAAAAAAAAACTTAAATTAGATTTGTTGCCCAGTCTAATAAGGACCCCATCCAACACCCCAGTTCTTCTCTGTAGCCCCACCATCTCCCACTGAGCAGTTACTACAATGGGAAAACTATAAAGCTACACGTGTTTGCGTGCAAGGTCCCCCGAATCTGGGTCGCTGCAGGGGAGCAAATCGACTCGCTGTAGGCTGAACCCCTGGGTTATCCACGCGCGATCCAATCTATCTATCTACCGTGTCCCCTCAACTCCCGGCAGTCTAGATGAAGTCACTGGAACAAGGCCATCTTGCAATCAAGTGCTTACTAAATGCCCCTTGAGGCTGCTGGAAGTGCGAGGCCGGCTGTCATTTAGATTTTTTTTAAACCTTCAAAAGATGAAATAAACAGGATCGTGCCTAGCAGGAGCACTCAACACTGCCCCAATACTCGTGTTTTGAGACCATCCAAGCGACAGAATTCAATACGTCCAAGCAAGCAACCCTGAAATCCCCTCCAAGCCAGTGACAACCCGCGCAAATTAAAGCCAACTGCTGCACCCCCTTCCCTGCCGCGCCAGCCCGGCGCGCATTTCCTGCCTCCCGACCGGCAGCACCGCCAAGCCACCCATTATCTGTCAGACCCGCGCTCGGAGGGGCCGGGAGGCCGAGCGGGGCGGGACAAAAGGACCCACAAACCCTCCCAGCCGCAGCCACCACGAGACACCAACTCGCGGCGTCCCACAAGGAATGGAGGGAAACGTCCGCAGTTTGAAATCCGCAGCTCCATTTCCGCAGCGGCCCGGCCCCGCCCGGCTCGAGCCTCTGCAGCCGCCGCCCCGACCCACCGACCGAGCGGCCGGCCGGTAGGGGGGGAGGAGGGGGGGCAAGGAGGTGAGGGCAAGGCCGCCGCGCCAAGCCCGGCGCCCAAGGACCCCGGCCCGCCCGCCGCGCGGTCCGCGCCCTCCCTCGCCGCCCCTCCGAGGCCGCGCCGCTGGGAGCCGTGAGCAGGGCGGGGGCGGAGGCGCTCACCTGCGCAGGTCCGCTGCGGGAACACGAACGGCTCCAGGAAGGTAGCAGCGCAGCGCCCCGGCCGCCGTTCCGCGCGCGCGACGCTGCCCGGCCGCGCTCTCGCGCCGGGCGATCCCGCGGTCCGGGCGCGCGCCCCCGGCTCCGCCCCGCCCCTCCGGTGGAGCCGCCCAACGCTCCCATTGGCTTCTCGGCCTTTTGAATCGTCCCCGGCGCTGCCGATTGGTCGTGCTCAGTGGTGCGTCCTCCAGCCGCGGTGAGGCGGGTGAGCCGGGGAAGCCGGAGCAGGCGGGCGGGAGTCTGGTGCGGCCCGGAGTCCTGTGTTTATCCCCGCCTTATCTCGGCGGCCCAGGCACCCTGGCAGCCCACGGACTCCCGCGCTCCCCGCCCTTTCCCTCCTGATGCTGGTCACAGCCTCCTGGCGATTTGCTGCAGAGGGCTTGGGGTACAAGGTGGCTCAGGGAAAGAGATTTAAAAAAAAAAAACTATTGTGGGAGGGTCTTTATCTGACGCGAGCAATCATTGTAACCTGGTTCTTTGTACCCTCAATGAATCTCCAACAATAAAAAATACTACAAAGAAAATAATAACTTTGCAAAGTGTTGTCTAAGTATCCCAGTCCGAAATTTCTTCTAAGGCACTATGCGTGCTCTCCTTCACCTGTTAAAATCCTGCAGTAGCCTCCGGACCAAGCGGTGGCTTCGAAGGGGAGCAGGGGCTCTTTTGTCCTGGCGACCTCTGCGCCTCAGCAGAAACCGACCTGGACCAAAGATTACGGCCACTGGCGAGAGGGAAGGATGGTGAACACAACTCGAAGATTGCCTACGAAGAATCTTCCTATGAAGAGGAGGATTGTTTTTAAGGGAAGTTCCTGGGGAGATAGGGTAGAAACGACGCGGAGCACGGAACGAGAAGTGCAGTGCATTACACACACTCACACACACACACACACACACACCCCGCTACATCGCTTGTTCTGCAACACAAAAGCCTGGTTTTAGTTTACCTTCAAAACGCTGAATCATTACCTTGTTGACTCGGAATCTGTTGTGAATCCTAAACCTTTGGGGGGGGGGGGCTGCAAGTTACCATTATCGGTTAGTTGGCTTCCTTCCTTTGGGGTGGAGAGTTTAAAGCAGTCCATTGAAGTTCCCCATTTCGCAATGTGGTTTTAATCAAAGTATTTCTTAACACCCCTACTAGGTAAATTTGAGTGAATTTCTATTTTGGAAGCACTATCTTAAATTATGCAAGTTAAATTATAATATAAATAGGGGTTTTCATTTATATCGTCGTTTCAGGTGCCCAGAGCCCTCATCTTCTCCCAGTTGCAACTACCAAAAACCCAGGTTTACTACTTAAAAAAGAAACAAAAAGTGAATACATTGGATTTCTCAGTCATTCGCATCCAGGGTGTTTGAGTTCATCAGAGCCTTTCCTGACAACCAGTTTGGACATGGAATTGTCAACATTGTCATTGAATTTGCCCTGGGTGGAAATCTGTGATATAGAAATGCGCATTGCACTCCAAAGTCGGAAAACCTACCTCGTTTTCTGCAAACCCCAAAGCCTCAGTTGCCTTAACCGTTAAGGTAAAATATTAGCCCTGCCTCAGAATTGTTTTCTGTAAGTGACAGAAGTGAAAACACTATATCAGGTCTATGGGGACCCAAGATAAATAGTATTCCTCATAGCCAAGCAGTGCTACATTATTCTTTTCTCATATGCTCTACACAGAACCAAGATGTCTTTGGATTTCCCTTGAGGTACACATTTTCTGGATCATTTCCACTTGTGAAAGAAAAAAGTTTCATTTTAAAAAACTCATTAAAGATTAGGTTTATAAAGTCTCACCCTATGTTGCAGTTAAAACAATGTAAATTAATAGAGTCAGTTTAATTAGCCTTACAAAATATCTACTAAAGAAACTGGGGGGGGGGGTCAGAGCCTCAAGCTGTCCCCCTGGGTAGAGTGCTGTGGCATAGCTCACAGCAACCTCCAACTCCTGGGCTCAAGCGAGCCTCCTGCCTCCGCCTCCCAAGTAGCTGGGACCACAGGTGCCGGCCACAACACCTGGCTACTTTTTTTCGGTTGCAGCCATCGTTGTTTGGCAGGCCGGGCTGGATTCGAACCTGCCACCTTAGGTGTATGTGGCTGGCGCCTTAGCCACTTGAGTCACAGGCGCTGAGCCTTAAAGAAATTTTTAAAAACAAAACCTATTTGACATCAGGGAAGTCAAGCAATTTTTATTCATTTCTGGTTAGTGGACTGAAGTGTATTGTGAAAAATCAGATAAATATCTAGGCTACTTTCTCAATAAGGAACTGTTGATATTTTTCTCTTCCTTTTTAAAGAATACTAAAGATTGTATAGACTTGGAAGTGGGGAATTTTCAGGTTTAGTTCTCAGAAAGATGCTTGTCCACCACAATTAGCAAGTGGTAGGTTTTCAGAACCTATAAAGTAAAAGTCCATGTCTTGGCCTCACTGTAGGTAATGAGGCCATCAGTGGCACAGTCCTCTTACCTATTTACATGATAAAGGACAAGTGAGGAGAAGCAAACCCTCTCAGCACTGACACTAACACCAGCCAGAAACACACATGGGCCCAGGAAACCTTTACATAAGAAATATTAGCTCTCTAGTGGAATATGTTCCACTGTGCAACTATTTGGCTCCAGTTCTGTAAAGGAGCTTGGCTCTCAGGATTGAAACATCTCTCTCAGGAAATAAGTCTAGGTACAATTTCATGCACCATGAGGTCCAGCTGGGTTTGTTTGGAACTATTTTATAAGGAACAAACTTTTGTCTACTAAAAACTGCAGAAAGCCTTTATTCATTAAATAAAAGCCCCCCAAAAGCCATCTAATAAAAACACATTTCTGCTGATGTAGTTTGATATTAATGGTTTCTGTTCTCACAGAAATGGAGCGCCTATGGCTCAAGTGGCTGAGGCACCAGCCACATACACCTAAGGTGGCGGGTTTGAATCCAGCCCCAGCCTGCCAAACAACAATGACGGCTGCAACCAAAAAATAGCCAGGCGTTGTGGCGGGCGCCTGTAGTCCCAGCAGGAGACCTGCTTGAGCCCAGGAGTTGGAGGTTGCTGTGAGCTGTGATGCCAGGACACTCTAGCTGGGGGGACAGCTTGAGACTTTGTCTCAAAAAAAAAAAAAAAGAAAGAAAGAAATGGAGCTTATGGTTAACACGATGCTTCATTATGTCCAATAGCAATTAAATTTTTATTTGAAACATCTGCATACTATATACATATTTGAAGCACTTGTCTCCTTTTCTTCATATTTAAGTATTTTAAATATTAAATATTTATTTGTTAATAAGCAAATTAGAAGAGGAAACTATTGAACAGGTAGATCCCAGTATACTGCTGTTTCAACTTCAATGGAGGAACTTAGAAGATGTGGGGTTTATGTACCTTAATGCCTTGGTGACAGAGAAAGAAAAGCAGCAGGCTCTGGTGCAGTAATAGTAACAACTAACAAGTATTCCTTCAGATTTTACCTCTGCCAGCTGCACCTCAAAGTGCTTCTTGTGTTTTAACTGTTTCAATTTTCATGACAGCTGCCTGGGGTAGGTGACTTTGCAGTTGAAACTGAAGAGGTACAGGGAGGTTAATACTTCCCCAGGCTTACCAAGGCAATCTGGGTCCACATTCTTCACCCACTGTGCCAAGCTGCCTCCAAACCAATTTGCAAAATGCATGAGTTCCCCAAGGGTAGTTCCTGTTCAGCAAGCAGCACAGCACATCTAGGAGCTTGTAAGAAATGCAAATTCTCAGGCCCATCCCAGACCTATTGAACCTGAAGCTCTGGGTAGGCCCAGCCATCTGAGTTTTAGCAAGCTGTCCAGAAGATTCTGGTAGAAACAGGCTCAAGTTTGAGAAGCACTGGCAAAGAGAAAGGTGGTGGTGACCTTACTGATGGCTTTTCCTCTCTGAGGCTGAGAGAGAAACTCTAGAAATCTGCTCTCACAAGCTTCTGCAGCACTCACAGTCTTCTCAGAAGACTGAGCCTCAGATTAAGGGTCCAGACCTGAGAGGTAGGTTAGGGGGTGCTTGGAATGGGATTGGGTGCTGGTGTGGCCCCCTCTTCCACTCTGGCCAGGGCACACAGCCACAAGGTTCCCTTTATGTGCTCCAACAAAGCACACTTTCTCATTTGGGGAAACTATTCCTTTCCTGGATATAGAACTAATGTGCTCTTAAAACTTCAAAGGAAATTCATTTACTTTTTGTTTATTAAGAAAAATAAAGAATTAAAAATAAGAGCTAAGGAAGTTTAAATATGATGAGGACACTGAGAATCAGAAAGGGCACACAGTAACTATGTGGCAGAGCTGTGCTTCAAACCAAGGTCTTCCTGATTCCAAAGCAGACATCTACACCAGGCACCTGAGTTAGCAAGAAGATCCAATGCATTCGCACAGGCAGCCTTGACTTACATTCCTTACCACCAGGCCAGGTAGAATGGTAGAATTCAGAAGCAGAATTTACTAAATTTTAATTCTAGTAAAGATAGTCTATGTCACTTTTGTTCTTAGTTCTTGGCACATAATAGGTGATTATTGAATTGATTGGTTGATTTGTTGGTCAATTAATTGGTTAGGGAGAATGAGGGAAGCAGGCAGCGCTCCTAGCTCAGTGGGTAGGGCGCCTATTGCTCAGTGAGTAGAGCACCTGCCACATACACTGGGGCTGGCAGGTTCGAACCTGGCCCAGGCCACCTAAAATCAACAATGACAACTGCAACAACAGTTAAAAAAAAAAAGTAGCCAGCCATTGTGGCGGGTGCCTGTAGTCCCAGCTACTTGGGAGGCTGAGGTAAGAGAATCACTTAAGCCCAAGAGTTGGAGGTTGCTGTGAGCTGTGATGCCACAGCACTCTACCCAGGGTGACATAGTGAGACTCTGCCTCAAAAAAAAAAAGAATGAGGGAAGCAATTCTAAGATTGTCCCAAGACTCAGTGTGAAGAGAAACTAGTGAGAATAGCAGCATGGCTGGAGTGGAGTAAGGGTCTATAATAGGAAAAAAAAATAAGGATGACATTAA